GAGAAAGAGAAAAAAAAAATGATAAAAAAAAAGGGAGGAAAGAAAATTGCGGGCAATTTTTCTTTGTACTTTATGTGTAAATATATATATGTATATATATATATGTATATATACATATATATATATTGTATATAGTCGTACAGAGAGAAAGAAGATGGATGTAATTGTAAGGGAGCCCGCGGGAGCCCTCTCGCGTTTTTATCGAGCATCTTTTTCTCTCTCGATGCCTGTATGTCGTGAAACGGGGTATTACCTGAAGGTCCTGTTTCGCCGCCTCTGCACCGGCCCTCGTGTGAAAAGTCACGAAACCCACCGGCTGAAATCAAAAACGGAAGCACGTGTCATTTGAAATTTTTCTTTCATTCGTTTCATCGTCGAAAAAACGAAACATATCTTCTAAAGATTAGCGCGAACAACGTTATATTATATTATAGGTTAGTTTTACTACAATTCTCAGAAAGTTTCTAAAGAAAAAATTATATATATTCATTATATATATTTACAAAATTTGTACTTCTCAGATGTACACAGTGTGATTTCTTGAAAGGATTAAAAGGGAATGCTTTTAAATATTACAAAATCAATGATTTCTAGTTAGGATAAAAGAGTCATTTTTATTTCTTTTTTTTATTGGTTTTGTACGTTTATGTAAAATATTTTTAAAAATTATATAATCTGAAAGTAATATTTATATTTTTCAGATACATCGTGACTAAGGTTAAGAAGGTTCATAGGAAACCTGGGGAACAATGATTTCAAGAATATTGTAAGAGTATAATAAAATTTTATTAGAAAAGTCTCTCTGTCTGTCACTTTCAAATATTATAAAGCCACTAGATATCTATATCTAACTGAAGTAAAAAAAAAAAAAAGAAAAAAGTGTAAATCTTTCTTTGTTCCCTTTTCTTTTTTTTTTTTTTACTTCAGTTAGATATAGATATCTAGGGGCTTTATAATATTTGAAAGCGCCAGACAGAGAGACTTTTCTAATAAAATTTTATTAGAAAAATCTCTCGGTCTGGCGCTTTCAAAAATTATAAAGCCCCGAGAAATCTATTTCTAACTGAAGTAAAAAAAAAAAAAAGAAAAAAGTGTAAATCTTTCTTTGTTCCCTTTTCTTTTTTTTTTAGCTCTTGTTCGTTCCACGTATGAGAAAAGAGGTTATTTTAAAAGGGGAACAGAATATCGTGGAATATGGTTATAAAATTTTATTAGAAAAGTCTATGTGCTTTCAGATATTAAAGAACATTAATGTATTCAGGGAAAAGTGGAGTGAAACGGTTAACCAGAGATATTTTCTCTTCTAATAATAAGATCAAAAGTTTAAGATATTGGAAAAATTATTTTTATTAGAAATATTCGAGCATCGATATCAAAAAAATAGTCGAAATAGGATTCTTACTTAAACCCACGTTTATCTTAATCCTTGTCTTATACGTAAATACTCGTGCATCCATCATTTAATTCTTTATTTATTTTTAACTTGACCTATTTTATCATTATCATGTGGACGATAAGATATTTTAAAAATTAAAATATCTTATAAAACGTATTATTATTTTATTTTTCTCATTATTTGTAGATGAATCTCAACATTTCAGATGTTTTATAAAAAAATATTTGAAATATTAAAAGGAAATTTTCAATCAAATACAATTAATTTCTCTTATCGATCTGACTTTTTAAAGATTTAATCCAATTAATTCTCGAGAAGAAATTTAATTTGTTGTGAAATTATTTAATCCTATTCCATCTAAAAAGAAAAAAAGAAACTTCACAAGATACACGTTTACAACACACACGTATGACACTCGTGTCGGGCAAACTGCTGTTTTACTATACGTCATAATCTCGTTTTAATCCACCAATGCAAATCGCCCTTTGAAAAATATAAAAAGAGAATGCTCGTTGTAGGGATAAAAATTCAAGAAACTCGTCAAAACACGCATATTCCTCATCACAACGAATTATTATTTCCAAATAAAAATTATTCAATCTTAATCGTCGAATATCTTTATCCCGGAAGAGAAATTATCGATACAACGTAATTCTCTCAATTTTTATCTTCTTTTTTTTTCTCTCGAAATATTTGCAATAGATTAAAGGGATAATAATAAATCGAGACATTTTTAAAATTTTCTTCTTATTTAATTTATTTCGTGGTTTAAAAAAGAAGAAGCAACATTTAGATTTTAATTAGGATTTTTATTCCCCCTCTTTGAAATGACGAAATACATCGTAAACTTAAGAAGGAACCGTGAGATCCTCGATAAAAACTTCTGAGAACTGTGGCCCATTTTCTTGAAAGAGATCTTGAAAGAATACTGCGATGTATCCTTCTCCATCTCGAATGTTTTTTTTCGCATTGCACAACGCGAGTCGAACTTCAAAAAATTGAACGAACGCATAATTGTATATATTTATTGTACCTCGAAGAAAGAGCTCGACGATATATAATCTCTGATATACTTCATAGAAAAACAACAACCCCTTTCTCACTTCTAATTTAAAAACCTTGTAATTGAAATTTATATCGCATCACGAAAAAAAAAAAAAACTGCAACTTTTCCAAGTTTTTAGTCACAGCTTATATAATCGTTGTTATAAATCGTAAAAAAAAAAAAATAAAAAAAAATATTGGAACAAACGTGGTCGAAGTATTACGCGGACGAATCAGCTTGCGGGGCTTAAAATAAATCAAATAGGCTTTCTGCCCCGATGATACTCGTAAGTTTACCCTCGGTTTTCTAAGAAGGGATTCAGGAAGCCTGTAATTCACCGAGGAACGAATCATTCGTTCAACGGTCTCCCTCTCGACGCCGTAATTTTCCTGGGGAAAGGAATCGAATTTCCACGTTTTGTTTATTCGTTCACCAATCGGACGATTCGACACCGATGATTCTCGCGGTCGGAAAAAAACGTTCGATCGGAATCGTCTGGCGGGATTCTATCGATTTGGAAAGAAATTTGAAAGTTTCGTCGAGGTAGAGGAGATATGAAGTGGCTTAAACTCCTTCATATTTTTCATTTTGCTAAGATTTCTAAGATTGTTAAAATTAGGATTCGAATCTCTCTAACCTCCCTTTTTTCTTATCTCAAGGAACTGAAAATAGTTCAAGCGAGAAAGAAAGTTTATCCTTTCCTAAAAAAAAAAAATTATTGAATTTTTTCCCCTCTTTTTGTGAAGAAAAAGAAACTTTGTTTTAATTTTTTCGGGATAAGAATGTTTAATTTTTTGTTTTTAAATTAAAATCTGTCGAAGAGAGACGTCTTCTCTACAGAACTCTCAAAACACTATAATAATAATATATATATATTATTATTTTCACTTTCAATTTTAATATCCCTGAATTAAAGGAATTTCTCCATTTTTCATAATAATTTGCACAAAGATTTTCATATCTAACCTAAAAAAAAAAAAAAAGAAAAATATTCAAATCTCTTAATCTTCTTTCACGGTTTATCATACGTGACAATATCACTGAACGGATTTTCAAAAATCTTTTCCTCTCGCTTTGTCACTTTTCCATTTTCATAATAATTTGCGCAAAGATTTACATATCTAACCTAAAAAAGAAAAAAAAAAAAAAATATTCAAATCTCTTATCCTTCTTCCACAGTTTATCATACGTGACAATATCACCTTGCGCAACGATCCTCGCGCAACGACCAGTTATTTATCCGCATTGTATGTGTGTTCTTATCCACGTTGGAACAACAGCGTGCAGAAAATCTGATAAGCTAGGAATACGGGCACGCGACAAAGTGATATTCGGCGCGAAATTACAGTTGCTGGAGGTGGGGGAAGGAAGGAGTGGGGGTAGCAAAGTCACGTTGGAAGTAAATTCGTCGCGAGCGAATACGAAAACGGAAATACGCTAAAAAGGAATAATCGCGTCGTACCCGTTTGTTGAAACTTCTGTTTCGAGAAGAGGGGAGAGGGGAGACGAGCCGATAATTTCTCGATTCATTCGACCCAATTTCTCCATCGTCGAATCTCTTGCTATCAGGGATAAATTCGATTCTTCCATCCTTTTGGGTACGTTGATGAATATTAAATATTTGACGAAGACGTCAGAATGCGTGATCGACGAAAGTTTTTATATCCCGATATTCGGATGTATATGTTGATTGATGCAGAATTCCTTTTCTTATTTCTCGCGTATTCTTCTTTTCTTTTGAATTTCGCCATGAAATTTCTCGTGAAAAATCATTGTATCATCGTTGAACGTGATATTTTATTTTATACTTTTTTTAAAATTACGAATTCGATTCCACGATTTCACTAAATTTCGTACGATATTTTTACGTTAAAATATACCGTAATACAATTCCGCGGCAATGAAAAGTGCATTCATAAATAATAACAAGATGATAAAATTACTTGCAACGATACACGTGTAGAAGAGGAACAAGCGGGAATATATCGACGGAATTATTACATTTCTCGGTATGAATAACGTTTTCTAACGAAGGATCGTCGCAGCGTTTTCGACTCGTTCGCGTCGAATCGAGGAAATTACGCGAGCTTTCGTTTCGTGCCATTAACGGTCGCATTATCACGGAAGAAAACTTATCGAAACGCAACACGGAATTCCCGAACGTAATGCAAACGTTTCGTTTCGCGACGAGGCTCATTTTTATCGACGTAATACACAGCCACAGCCGGAATCGGTGGTGCTCGGCATCTGGGTTAATAGTGAACACAGTCGCGCGTGCAATGGTGTACAATCAATTTTCACGTTTCTTCTCCCCTCTCTCTCTTTTCTCCGTCTTCTTTCTTCGTCTATTATCGCCTCAACGGCTAATTTTAATTTCTCTCTCTCTTTCTTTTCTTCTATTTCTTCGAACGCGAAGGAATATATTTTTATTATCCTCCTCGAAGAAGATAATTTTTTTATCGCGATACTGGTTATTTTAATATATTGTAATTAATATATTATAAAGAATATTGTAATTAATATTTTGAAGAATATTGTAAAATATATTGTAATTAATATATATATATTGTAAAGAAGAGGAAAAAGAAAAATGGCGACAGAAAATAATTCTGAAAATATTTATCTCAATCCTTGGCTAATTAAGACTGACACATTTGAGTTTCTGTTTCTGTTTTGTGTAAGTGATATTTATTATTGTTATAGAATTTAAAGTTCACTGAAATTTTTTATGTGGCTTTATTATTGAATGTTGCCAGCAACATCACTATTTTATAGTTTTTCTTCGATACACATACTTATTCAGCTAAATATTTTTATTTATTATTTTCACTGCCCAATCAACAATTATCTATAACTCGGATATAGATGAAAAGTAAAGTGAAATATGACATTTTGGTCGAATAAAAAATCAGAATAATTCATATTTCTATTATCGATCTCTTCTACGCTATTTTTTCTTTTCTTTCTTTCTTTCTTTTTCTTTTTGCAATTATTCGAATAGGAAGCTATTCGTGCGACAAAGAGGTGTATACCGATTATGATGCACGAGGCGAAGCAAAACGATAGCAATTGTTATCGCGATTCCGCATAATCGAAGGGTTGGAAAATTGCGATGCGGTTTGATGGCGTGATATTTTCGTGAAAGAAAAAAAAAAAAGGGAATCGAGTCAAAAGTTTCCCTTCCCTCTTTCGAACGAATTCCTTCTTTCTTCTTCTAAAAAAAGGGGCAAAGTCGTCGAAAGTAAAATTGCAAATGGCGTGATTTTTTTTTCTTTCTTTTTCTTACTATGAGCGAGTCGTGGAAAATGCTATGCAAATCGGTGTAAATCGCTCCATTTTATTTCCATTTCAAGTTTAT